CCCCAAAACCCCAAAACCCCAAAACCCCAAAACCCCAAAACCCCATAAGGAATTAATTGGCAGAATAAGTGAATTAAATAATCATATTGTCGAAAAAGTGTAGATTTTCGTTAGGTTAACGGGGGCCATAAGAATGTTAAGATCCCCCTCATTGACTAAAAAATTAATTTATTAACTAAAAAATTTTATAGATAAATAATTAAAACTAAAAATCTAACTAAAAATTACTAATGAGAGAAATTGTCAGCATCCAAGTTGGTTAATGTGGAAACTAAATAGGATATAAATTCTGGGAAACTATAGCAACTGAACACGGTCTTAACACTTCTAATGGCGAATTCGAAGGCAACTCAGATTTGCAAATTTAAAGAGCTAACGTCTACTTTAATTAAATTGAGAATGGTCAAGTCGAGAGGTATGTACCTAGGGCAGTATTGGTTGACTTAGAACCAGGTGTATTGGACTCTATAGCATCATCAAGTTAAATGGGGAAATTTTTCAACCCTGATAGCTATGTTAGTGGATAGAACGGTGCTGGAAATAATTGGGCTAAGGGCTACTATAGTGAGGGCAGCGAGATTATCGATATGGTCTTAGACCAGGTTAGAAAAGAAGCCGAAAACTGTGATGTCCTCTAAGGGTTCCAATTCACTCATTCATTAGGTGGTGGAACTGGATCAGGATTAGGTACTAATATTCTGAACATTCTAGAACAAGAATACTCCAGTAAAATACTTTTCAACTATTCTGTGTACCCAGCTTCAGCTTCTGACAGATAAACATAATCAGGAGTCTCAAGTGTTTCAGATGTAGTTGTTGAGCCTTACAACACAGTCCTATCATTAAATGCATTGATAAATACCTCACATATGACAACTGTGATTGAGAATAACTCCCTATACAGGATTTGTCAAAATTTACTTAAACTCAAGACTTCTTCGTTCGCTGATGTTAACTATATAATAAGCTAAACCATGTCTTCAGCGACCGCCACTATGAGATTTCCAGGAGCCTCAAATAACACAGACATTCGTAAGATTTGCATGAATCTCATTCCCTTCCCTCGTCTGCACTTCATCTCATAATCATTAGCTCCCCTATACGCTAGAGGTAATTCTAAGTATGAGGTTATTAATGAATCTGAGATTATTGGGAGACTATTTGACTCATAAAGCTTTATGAGTGATATCGAATTGAGACACGGTAAAATATTGACTGGCTCAGTATTGATGAGAGGTTCAGAAGTCTCAGAGTGCGAAGTTGACTGTTAAATTAAACGTTTGAGTGACAAGCACTCAAGCACATTTGTTGAATGGATTCCAAATCGTCTAATGAGCAGTGTTTGCAAAGTAAATCCAGCTTATTAGACTTCTCAAATGTCAGGAAGCTCTCTACTTAACACCACCAGCATTTAGAATTCAATGTCAAGAATTTTACATAACTTTGAGAAAATGTATGCTCGCAAGGCATATGTTCATTGGTATGAGAATGAGGGAATGGATATCAATGAGTTTGATGAGGCTGCTGCTAATCTTAGAGACTTAATATCTGAATATGAGCAATATCAAGAAATGAAGTCAGGAGGAGATGAAGATGATGAAGCTGAAATTATTTATGAGAAAAAATCTCATAGCCATGGCTTCAACACTACTAGAGCTTCAAGTAAAGCAAGTAATTATGGTGAGTAAGCTTTTCATTAAGAAGATGAGGAAATGTAAGAGGAGGAAATGGTATGAGTGTGGTAAAAACTCAAAGTACATTTGTAAATATAGTGATATTACTAGTAAGAGGTAATCTCGATTTATATTGGAAAATTATCCATTATTTATTTTAATTTCGACTCTAACTAATTATCTAATTCTAAAAAAACTTGTCTTATGGGGTTTTGGGGTTTTGGGGTTTGAGCTAATTAAACAGTTGG